GCCCCTGGGGAAGCAGCCCAAGATGGCTTAAGTTCTTGGGCTGCTGCACTCCCTCTCCCTGCACGTGGGAGAACCAAAGGAAGCTCCTGGCTCCTAACTTCAGACCAGCCCAGATCCAGCAATTGCAACCATCTGGGGAGTGGACCAGTGGGTGGAAGATTTCTCTCTCTCTCCCTCCGCCTTTCAAATTAAAAAAAAAAAAATCTTAAAAAAATGTTAAAACTACTCAGGAGATTCCAGCACATAGCCAAGATTAAGAACTATTCACTTAGGAAAAAAAAAAAAAGGATTTAACGGGTAACATTTGGTGTAGCTTACTATTAGGAATTGCAATAACAAAGGACACTTTTCCTATTGGCCTTGTTTTATAGTGGCAAAATATCTGGAACAAGAGAAAAAAGGAGCAGAATAAGGACAGCCAAGGAAATGTCACATAGGAGGTCATTTTTATGATGAATATAAGATTTCAGAAAGTCGTGTCTAAAAGCTGAGCAACATTTTGAGCCAGCAACCTTGAGCACAGGGGACAATTCAAAGCAAGGCTGTAACTAGGGGAAAGGAAATCATCAATATTAGCCATGGAAATAAGAGAAGTTAAGGCAATGCATTCAAGAGAAACTAAACAGATCAGCTGGATATTGTAGGGAGAGTCACAAAACAAGGCATCAGGCAGAATTCAGGAAAGGATTGCTTTTCTTTGACCACAAAAATGAGACAATCCAGGAACATAATAGGAAACCTAGAAGTAGGGTACAGTCTATATGCACGGTGCGTGTGCTACTTCTGGTTGCCCAGGCAACAAGAGCCCTTGCTTCATGTTAATGATGATATAATTAGGAAAACCACATGCAGATGTAGAGAATAATTAGAGGTGGAGTCACACCTGGTCCAGGGAGCTTTCTTTAAGGAATGCTAAGTAGGAATCCGAGTGAGATTGATGTGGGAGGCTGTTAGGTGTGAAGGGGATGGATTTGATCTAGGTGTTAAAGCAGGAATTTGAGCCTTCTGTGGAGTGTCTGGTAATGGTGTATAAGCCATGTGGCTAGTCCTTTGTATTTTTTTTAAGAGGGAGAGGGAGGAGGGAGGGAGAGAGTGCTCTCCCAACCACTGATTCACTGCCCAAAAGCCTGCAATGGCCAGGAATGGGCCAGGTCAAAGCCAGGAATACCTGTGAACTCAATCTAGCTCTCCCCCGTGGAAGGTAGGGAGCCAACTGCTTGAGCCATCACCACTTCCTCCCAGAGTCTGCAGGAGCAGGAAGCTGAAGTCAGGAGCTGGAGCCAGGAGTCCAACCCAGGCACTGCCATGGTAGCCACTGTCATCAACCCCTTGCCCCTCCACCTTGCTTCCTGATGCATTGTATAAGTTCATCTGGAGGTAGGGAATCCAGACAGTTGATACTTGGCTGAATCTTCACTTGGGAAGTAGAAACATCGATTTTAGGTGCCGGAGGGAAACACACACACACACACAAACAATTTACAAAGATCATGCTGCCCTTCATGAAATATGTAAGTATGATTTTTTTGGACTCAATTGCCCTGCAGTTGCCCTGCTAGTTACGGAAAGTTTCTAGTTTTGCATTTAATATTTTGACGTCTAAAACATGTTTTAATATTGTGAAAGGATTTTCTATAACTCAGATATTTGAAGATACTTTCAAGTGTTTTTCATGTATCAGTAAATGAATGTAAAATATTTTATTTTCTAAATAGTCTATTTTGCAGTGATTGAAACAAAAAAGAAAATTCTTTATAGCAATGTTTCTCAAACTCTTATATACGTAACAATCACCTGTTTTTTTTTTTAAATTATAAATTCTGCTTCTCTGAGCAAAAGCCTGACATTCTGCATTTGTAACTAGCTCACCATTGCTGCTGGCCCAAGAGCCTGGCCTTGAGTAGCAAGGTTTTTTAGTTCACTTCTGTAATTGCCAGAAAATGTGAATGACAACTTTGTACTTAAATGCTTACCAAACAATATTTTTGTTTCATAAACTTTTACATGTGAAAATGTATTGCGATTTATTTTTATTTTGTAAATTACACAAGTAATTATAGTCATAAAGTTCAATAATAGGCCAGCACCGCGGCTCAACAGGCTAATCCTCCACCTTGCAGTGCCAGCACACCAGGTTCTAGTCATGGTCGGGGCGCTGGATTCTGTCCCGTTGCCCCTCTTCCAGGCCAGCTCTCTGCTGTGGCCAGGGAGTACAGTGGAGGATGGCCCAAGTGCTTGGGCCCTGCACCCCATGGGAGACCAGGAGAAGCACCTGGCTCCTGCCATCGGATCAGCGCGGTGCACCGGCTGCAGCGTGCCAGCTGCGGCGGCCATTGGAGGGTGAACCAACAGCAAAGGAAGACCTTTCTCTCTGTCTCTCTCTCTCACTGTCCACTCTGCCTGTCAAAAAAAAAATTTCAATAATTATAAAAAATGTAATTGAGTTCACTAAAAACACATCTTTATTTTCTACTTTTCTTTTTCAATCTCTATCTTCTGGATAACAAACATATATTTCAGAATAATAAGTACTTTGTATGTATGTAATTGTATGTATGTAAAAGTATAGATAAAAAAAGTTAGAGTAGTATATGAGTGCTTTGGTATTTATTGAGAATCTTAACAAAGCATTTAGAAGTGAATATATATGTATGTGCACATTCAAGATATAAAAGAGGCTCATATTATACATAATTTTATTCTGCATACTCTGAAAAAAAATTAACAACCTCAAATTGACCTTTCTATGTCAATATTCATTTAATTTTGTGGCTGTATACAAATCCATTCTATTGAATGAGATTATTTCCATTGGTCACTTTTAGAAATAGCAAGCAGTTTATATTTTAGCAGAGGTGTGAGTATTTTGGTAGGCTAATGGCTTCATCAAATTTTATTTTTAACTTGAAGTAAGGCCAAATTGATTTTCCACAGTGACAGGTGGGAGGGAAACTATTTTTCTACTTCCTCTGAAGACACTGACATCAGAACTCTTAAATTTTTATGAACCTTGTGGATTTTTGCTATGCTTTAATTGTATTTCCCCTGATTGCGAGCTTGAATATTTTTTCATAACTTTATTCATCATTTATGTTATCTTTTTGAAAATTACTTAATTTAGGGGCTGGCGCTTTGGCATGGCATGAAAAGCCACCACCTACAGTGCCAGCACCCCAAAATGGCACTGGTTCAAGGCCTGGCTGCTCCACTTCTGATCCAGCTCTCTGCTGTGGCCTGGGAAAGCAGTAGAGGATGGCCCAACTCCTTGGGCCCCTGCACCCAGGTGGTAAAACTAGAGGAGGCTCCTGGCTCCTTGCTTCAGATTGGCATAGCTCCAGTTGTTGTGGCCATCTGGGGAGTAAATCAGCAGATGGAAGACTTTCTCTCTCTCTCTCTCTCTCTCTCTCTCTCTCTTTGCCTCTGCCTCTCTGTAAATCTGCCTTTCAAATAAATAAATAAATCTTGTTTTAAAAAAAGAAATTTACTTATTTTAAATATTTATTTAATTTATTTGAAAGGGAAAGACACAAAGAAAGAGATCATCTATGTGCTGATTCACTCCACAAATTCCCACAGTAGCTGGGTCTGGGCCATGCCAAAGCCAGGAGCTAGGAACTCCGTCCAGGTTCCCACATGAGTAACAGGCACCCAACTACTTGAGCAATTACCTGATGTCTTCCAGGGTTCTGCATTATCAAGAAGCTGAAATCAACAGCAGAGCCAAGATTTGAACCCAAGTACCCATGTGGGATGTAAGAGGGAAAAAAAAACACACACACAAAATTTACAAAGATCATGCTACCCTTCATGGAATATGTAAGTGTGATTTTTTTTTAACTCAGTTGCCCTGCCTTCCTAGTTACAGAAAATTTCAAGTTTTGCATTTAATATTTTGATGTCTAAAACATATTTTAATATTGTGAAAGGGTCTTTTACACCAAACGCTCACACCTACTCTTCTCTATATTTTTGGAGTTGTTTTTCATATTGATTGAAGGAAATTCTTTGTTTGTGATGGATATTAACCCTGTGTCTTGTGTAACTACACATACACAAGCACGCATGATGGCAAATCAGGAACATTGGCTCTGGGCATTCATTCTGGTTTCACCACTTGTAAGCTATGTGACCTTGGACAGTTATTTAACTTTTCCATATCTCTGTTACCTCAGTTGTATAAATGGTATGATAATGGTGTATACTACATATCTAAATACCACCTAGTTATTTTTTTCTTAGCAACATGAATATTATCTTTGTTATGCACTCTTTGATACAGAGAACATGTATTATCAACTCAAACTGCTTCATTTAAAGTTACCTTAAGGGTTTTAAGAAGGATATTGTTGAATCAATGGATTAATCTGAGAAAAACAGTAAACTTTATAAGCTTTAGGCTCCATGTTTCAATCCATACAACTTGGTTAATACATCTAGGCTTATTTTTTTGCCTATAATACCCAGAATTCTCTGCTGGCTCTCTCCAGGAAGCGCTTCTCATTGGCTCTTCCTGGTTACTCCATGTTTCTTATTGTCCTCAGCAAGCCCCTGGTCTGAGAAAGGATCTTTATTCCTCCCTTCCAATTACCTCCCTAGCTACAGAAAGGAAAAATTCTCCACCTTCTATATCAGACAGCAATAATGCTACATAAGAAACTGACTCCAAAATTGAGCTAAAAATTCAGTGCAATACAATGAGCATGCTAGGGTTCTAAGGTTGGCTTCTATTGCCGTATCTGGAATAGTCTTGATTGGGCATCTCTGGGAAAATGCTGCATGTTCCAGAATGAGATTCCTGGCTGGGACTGGGTTCATATATGTTTCACAATTTATTCCAAGGCCTAGAGTGAAGGAGGGGGAGTAGCAGCTCCCTGGGACATATTCTTTACATGGATAATCATAATTGCCAAAATATTAAACCCAGGGTGTTGGTCATGTCTTGTGTGTCCACATCTGCTCAAAGCAAATTACTCAGAATCAAGGAATAAGATGGTTTATTCAACACACTGTGAGGACCTGGCAATGTTATTAAAAGGAAATGAATGACTGGAGATGGATTCTTTAGTTTGTGATACCACTGAGACCATTTCCCTTCCAGCTTTTCTGTGCTCTGTCCAGTTCCATCCCTGGTGAAATCACAGCATTGTCCTTTGGCTTTTACATCAGAAAATACTTATCTTTGAGTGGCTTCCCTCTGGTCACACATGAGAATAGTGACTGGAATGAGAAAGTAAATCGATTCCCAGTTGTCTTCATGTGTCCATTGTAGGATCAGAGCTGAGCAGTTGTTATTTAACATAGTTAGATTGCCAGAACCATAAACAGGTTGGTTTCTTTTACATTGTTCTAAGGCACCAGTGAAGGAGTTTTTCATTAAGGGGATCTAATGCCAATTTGAACATTTTTGTATGCAAACACTAACAATCTCACTTTAAAAGCTAATTCAAATTGCTTCTAACCTTTTGGTAGTTAAGTTTTCTTCTTTCTTTTTTGATACCAGAAGAAAGATTTTGCTATTGTTTTTCTCCTTATGAGAATTTACTTTTGCAAAATAAACTCAGACTGTATGAAGGGTCTTCGAAAAGTTCATTAAAAATGCATCTTAAGAAAACAAAGCTATGGATGAAACTCAAAATTTTTTGTGCCAAAATAAACATATCTTTTAATTCCAAAGTGCCAAAAACTTTCCAAAGCACCCTCATATAGTAGAAGCTATTGATGCCCTTGTCTATATCCATTCAGCCAACTTACAGATTTCCTGCATCTGTAGAACATAACTAGCCCTTCCCATCTCAACTATTCACACCTCCCTGCTTATCTGCCTGGGCAGGATTTCCTGGCACTAAAGGAGTTTGCTTGCCAACAAGCAGGGCAGCCTAGAAATATTATAAGTTGAATGCTCCTAGCAGCAACCTTCAGCCTACAAGGAGCTGAAGCAGGTACATAAACATTGCAGCTTCATTATCAGACAGTCGGCCACACTCTTAAAAATATTGAACCATGGTAGCACACTTGTGCACACACAGTTTTCAACTGATGCCTTCCCTTCCCCACTTCACACCCTACTCCTTTGCTGTGTTGCCTGGGATCATCTCTCAAATACACTACTTGTACCAACATCCTTGCTTCAGGGTCAGATTTGGGAGGAGCCAAAACAAAAGCAGATTATGAACATAGCAACTGAGAGCCCTACTTAAGATGCACAAAACACAGAGCACCTAAAGCACTAAAATAACTTAATTTGTGTAGATAAAAAAACAGTGGCTGGCAGATGGAATTACTCTGTCAGAGCTGGCAAGTTAAAATAAGTAGCAACAAAATACCAGAAATGTGCATGGAGGAAAAAGAAAATTCTCCCCTCATCCCAGATGTTGGCCTGTGTTTGAAGCACAGAAAGGTAGCATTTGGTTGTAGGAAAGGGTAATGTCCCCCTGGCTTCCTCCTCTCCTCAACTAGTTCTCCAGACCATTTCCTCTCTGGGTGACCCTCGGTCTAGATGATCCTTTCTCTAGTTATTGCCCTGAAGTGGTAGGAATGGTCTTTTGCTCTTTATTCCAGGGTACACAGATTTGCATCGGACTCAACGATTCTGAGAACTGGTGTAAGGCCCCTCTTGTGCCACAGCTCACATCCTCTTGGCCCACCTTTCTACAGCAAACTACTTTTTGAATGAGTCACTGACAGCACTTTCATTAGCTATGGGAACTGTCATTTGCCTTCTTTCCTGGAGCTTCTCCATTGCCCTCTCTTTAGGTGACACATGCAAACCACTCAGCCATTTAGAAGCTTGGGCGATCCCCCAAGTGCAAGGTCATAAATGGATAACTCTTGACCAATGGAAGAATAAAGATGATGGATCATTTCTCTTCTCATGGCTCCCAACAGACAAGATTGAGGTGTATCCTCGGCAGCTTCTTAGAGTGCCATCTTCAAGACTGGGTTTCACTTGTGAATGGTTTTGTTGAACATGAAAACACAGCTTCTTGACTGTACTCTTTCCAGTACTTGCTCCAGTTGCTTGGGATGGAACTGTCCAAAAAGCTTTGTATGCACAGTCTTGTGTCCAATTCAGCTTTCTAGGGAATTGAAAGGCCCAGATACTCATTCCTCCATTCCCAATGGTTCTTCAGGGGTTTCCTCAGGCCAATATGATCCTATCATGGCTTAAAATGCATGAAAGGGTAAACATTAAAAAATGACAGTAAAGAAATGTTAAACGTGTGATGATATAGACATGTTCACTCTGATTGGACATTACATGTATGCGTGTATTGAAACATCAGATAGTATCTCATTAATATGTGTAATTTTCTGCCAGTTAAATTTTCTAGAAATCATTTAAAAAGTGAGACAGTTTTCCTGTTGAAAAACTGCTCTGAAGATATAAGCCACTTATAAAGTATGAACAAATATTTGTAACTCCAACTTGTAGGCATTGTTAAATTTTTCCATTCCTTTTCCATTACTCAATGGGTAATCTTCTTGCATTAATTTTCAATTTCTTTGGAATGTATGGTATTTCCAACTGTGATTATAGACTCTAGGGATTTATTGATTTGAAAAAATGCTTATTAATATTCATGGCACTTAGGTAGCCAGAAATGTGAATATAGAGTGGCTAAAATGCAGTTGCTAAAGTTTAAGGATAATCTAATGTCAAAATAGGAAAAACTTTACAAATAACCAAAGCAAGTAAAATACAGAAAGTGACAGATGTGACAAAGTACAATCATTCCTTAACATGTTTGGGGGATTAGCTCTAGAACTCCCACAGATACCAGAATCTGAGGATGCTCATGTCCCTTAAACAAATGGAGTATTTGCATGTAACAACCTCCTGTCCTCCATATTCTTTGAATCATCTCTCATTTACCTTTAATACAATGCAAATGTCATATAAATAGTTGTGCAGTGTGTGTTAAACTCGGGGTTTTCAAAAACTACTTGTTTATTTTCATTTTATTTGAAAAAGAGAAAGAGAGAGAGTACTCACATTTGCTGTCTCACTCTAAATTCCCAGAACAGCCCGGGCTAGGCCAAGCCTATGCCAGGAACTCCACTGGGGTCTCCCATATGGGTAGCAAGGACCTAAGTACCTGAGCCATCACTGCTGCCTCCCTGGTTGCATTAGCAGGAAGGTGGAATTGGAAGTAGTGTCTGGACTCAAACCTGGGTACTCCCTTATGGAGTGTGAGCATCCCAAGCAGCATCTTAACAGCTGCACCAAATACCTGGGTCTGAAATTTATACTTTCTAAAATTGTTGTATAGTTACTCTTTATTTTTCTCATGTTTCCTATCTATGCAATGTTGAATCCATAGATGTAGAACCCAGGAACGCTGAGGGCTGAAGGTAGTCCCAGTTATGGTGGATAGAGAAACCACATCTGGTATGAAGCATGGACTTCACTTGAGTTTTCGTTGGGTAGTAAAGGAAGCTTCTCTTGGGCCATGCTGCTACCAGCAAAGGCAATGTCTGGTTTTTGCCACAACAGCAAAATGTGTGCATTTGCTTGGCTAAGGCACATTGAAGAAAAATTTTTCAATTTAATTCTTCAGAACATTTTGATGGATGTAGATCTTTCCAGCACCTAAGGCATTTCAACAAGTTTTAGTTTTCTGCCATTGAATAGAATGCTTATTCTCTCCAAGGTTGAGACTTCAGAGTTATGGGATGTATTTCCTGAGGCTGTGATAACCTAATGCATCGAAATATTATGACTCTTCGTGCCTCCTGGGTATTTCTGCTTGTTTATGAAACTCTCATTGTTCTTCATGTGTGGATGGCAGTTTGAATGACCTAGAAAGAACTAAACATAAAAACAAAGATTACATAATTAATGCTATCTCTAATTAACTATGTTTTATTTTCTAGGAGCTACAGATGTTATATTACTCATAACAATCTGTTCACATATTATTTATGTCAGACAAATAGGATGTTTATTAGCTTAAGACACTTAAGCAAATTCTGTATGTTTCTTTGGGTTAAAAAAAAAGGAGTATCAGAGTATATTAACTGTGTCCTTGATTTTCTGTATTCTGATGCTTTGACATCTGGGGTCTGCTGACCCTGGGGGGACTGCCCCTCTCAGGGCTAGCTAATTCCTAAAGGTAGTTTGTAAATAATCCTCAAATGTGTGTACCTTTCAAATGCAAACCAATCAATCCAGAGTCCTCCACCTCAATATCCACCTGCTTTATTGGGCTCTCATATTCAGGGCTACTGCTGTCCACCTGAACAATCCCCCCAGGCCCAGGCTCCAGACGAGTACAGATAAGCCCTTTGCCCAATACTATTTTTATAAAATAAGTACATACACATTTCAGAAAAAGTGTTAGGGAAAATTTGGGAAGAACAAATACCAAGCTCTTAACCATAAGAATCCCCAAGGTAGGGGATATAAAAAAAAAAGTCTTGGTTTTTTCCTTTTATAGATTTTTTTTCCAAATGTGAGGCTATAATAGGTTTTCATTTTTATATCTTCTCTTATTTTCAATTTTAAGTAGTATAAGAGGGGCAGACATTGTGGTACAGCATGTTAAGCCACTGTTTGGGATGCTTGCATCCCATATCGGAGTGCCTTTGTTCAAGTACCACCTCTGTTTCCACATCAGCTTCCCTCCAATGTGTTACCCCGGCAGCAGCAGATGATGGCTCAAGTAGCTGGGTCCCTGCCACCCTTGTAGGAGACCCAGATGGTTCCTAGTTCCTGGCTTCCACCTGACCCAGCCCCAGATGTTGCAGGCATTTGGGGAGTGAAACAGCAAATAGAAAATCTGTGTGTGTGTGTGTGTGTGTGTCTTGCATTTAAAAAAATTTATTTATGAATTTATTTGAAAAGGCAGGATGTCAAAGAGCAAAGAGGAGGGAGAGAGAGAGAGAGAGAGATCTTATATCTGCTGGTTCACTCACCAAATGGCAGGCTGAAGCCAGGAGCTTAGAAATTCATCCAGGTCTCCCACATGGATGGCAGGGGCTCAAGCACTTGAATCATCATCCACTATCTGCCCAGCCACAGTAGCAGAAAGAGGGATCAGAAGCAGAGCACCAGGACTCCAACAACTGCTCTGATATGGATACTGACTTCATAAACCTACTGCACCACAGCACTGGTCCCTCTGCCTTTTGAATAAATAAATAGACTACAACTAAGAGGAGAACTTGGAAAATTCATTTTCTGAAAAAAAATACTTCACAGCTCTGTAGTTATCCTTATGACTCTTCCAGAATTTTCTAGAATAAAATAAAAAAGTAAAATTAAAATGTTCATCTTGTAATTAGGCTTGTGAAATGATCAACAGTGTGAATTTGGGGTGGAGGGGAGTATATGGAGCACCCACCAAGCTGAGGACCGGGAAATGCATGGCATTCTTCCCTATACTTCCATTTCAAATTAATGCCATTTGGAATGGGGAATAATAACAGAGGGAAGGGATATGATACTGTGATTTCTTTTAGTCAAGAAGTGCAAATTTTAAGTCAGTTAATGCTTTCTTAAAAGCACACTTCTGAAAGTCATATTTGAGAGTTCTATAATTGACTTTTTTTATTCCTTCTAGGATCTTTGATTTTTAACACCTTATAAAATGAGACACTTTGGAAAATGAGGAGACAAAGAGGCTAAGCCAAGGTCATGATTCAAATGATTTACCTGGGGCCCTCACTTTTATTGTAAACTAGAATATCTCAATGTTTGAAAGAGCCTAGGTCATTTCTACCTTTATGGCCCCTCATATATTTAAAAAAGAATGGAGAAAGGACCAACCAGAGTTGCACATTTGGGTATACTTTTTAACATTTATTTTTATAGATTCAAGCGGTATTCTCTTTCAACCCTCAGTTTCCCCCTGTGACTGTACATGTAAACTTAGATGTTGGTCTTTTCAGGAATCCAAACTTGACATCTATCATAAGTAAAGGCTGAGGTCAGCCCTCCAAACTCCACGTGATAAGCCTTGATGGACTGGCCTTACCAGTCCTGCACCACAGAGAAATAGTCCTGCCCTAGTGAAACTGTGCGACCAACAAACCATGGATGCTCATGCTTCAGACATGTAATGCAATTTTATTGGGAACAAAACAAAAAATCTGTTTCCTCTGGAAACACATAAAATTAAGTTATTTATATAGTATCTTAAGTATAGTATACTTATCAGGAATTCCATATTTCCATTGATTATCAAAGAAAGCTCCATCAGTTATCTCAGCAGACAAACAGATCAGTATGGGGATGGGATGATTCTTTTCCAACATTAAATCTCTCTGTTTCTCTCATTACTTGTTTGTATATTACATGCATATATATTTAACAGTATCTAACAGTTGTAATAAAAAATTTAACTTTTGAATATTCAGCTTATGCATTACAATTAAAATAAAATATTTCAATTAGGAAGTTATTTGGCCTAGTGGTAAAGATGCTGATTAAACAGCTATAATCCATATTGGGATACTTGGTCCTGACCTCCAGCTCTGGCTCCTAACTCCAGCTTCCTACCAACGCAGACCCTGGGAGGTGGTAGCAATGGCTCATGTGGGAGGTTTATCTTGAGTTCCCAGCTCAATTCCTGGCTTTGGTGCCTTTGCTGTTAGAGGGCATTTAGGAAGTGAACCAGCAAACAGATGTGCTCATTCTTGCTTGTTCTCTCTCTCTCTCTCTCTCTCTCTCTCTCTCTCTCTCATCTCTGTCTCTCTCTCTGCCTCCCAAATACATAAATAGAAACATTTTGAAATAGTATTTCAGTTCAGGTTATACCTAAGAAAGTCAGGTGCTACAATAATCATTATTGTAATACAAAATGAAACATATGAATCAAAATTTGAAATGTGAATAAATTCCAGTTTGGTCTAAAAATAGCTAAGTATTTCATTTCTAATGTATTTATCTCAGCAATTTTTCAAAATCCATAACATATTGGGTGCTGCAGATTCCTAAACAATGAAACATAAGCCTAACCCTTGAGAAGGCTAGGGTTTAATGGGAAAGGACAGGCCTTTGTATAGAACACACAATTCAAATTTAGGGCTATGCTTAGGTTTGTGAACAAAGACATATGAACTCACAGTGGTGGTGGAATACCTGGGGAAAAAAACTTCATTAAAAAGAAGATATTTTAGTTTGAACTGTAAAAATATTAAAGTTTGAGACTGCTTGGGCATTCACTGAGCAAAGCAGAGATAAAGTGAATAAATGAATCCTGCCATGAGAAGTAGCAAGGACAAAAGCGATGAAGTTTTTTGCTTTACAGTGTCCAAGCACACTCCCTATCTGCTGTAGCTGGAACAGGATACAAACCATGTATTGTTCTTCAGCGTGAAATTACTGACAGGCCATATGGTATCCATTTGGCTCGTTTAAAGTGTTCTTTCAAACATAAGAAACAAAACAAATTATATTTCAACTTACTTGCTTCTTTTTGAAAGAAGAACCTGTCCTTTCTAATTCCCTGATGAGGATGGCGCAAACAAGTTGCCTTCAGTCACCATTCTGTTGGTGTAATGTGCATGCCCAAAAGCAGGGAGCACCAAGTGACACAGTTTTAATGGTCAGTAATGTTAAATGTCTGCCATCTGGGTATGTCTCTCAAATAAATCTTAGTAAATACTGAGAAACAGTACACAAACACTGTATACTCTTCGGAGCACAGAAATTCTGAGTAATGGTCAATGGCTACCCAGGGAGGTGTGGGAAAGAGGAGGCTAGAAAGAGATCACCAGTGCTGTCTACTTAGGATGCTGGGAGGGGCGCCTATTCCCATGCAGGTGCACTGTTTGGAGAGAGGCACACTCTTCACCCTTTCTCTCCCTTGGCTTTGAGACTGGACCTGTTGGCCCAGGCCTTGCTTCCAGATCAACCTTTCCCCAAACCAGATCTCTGGATCTTTTCCCTCTAATCTCTATCTACTGCCACACCCAGCCTGAGTCCTTGGTCCCCAACCCATGCACTTTACACAGGGTTTTCCCTTTGTGCTTTATATTTTGCCATGACAGAAAGCGTATTATTCTGTTCTCTATAAGCAAATACCTGAAGATGTGTATGTTAAAAGAAAAGAGGTTTATTTAGCTCCAAGTTTTGGAAGCTCAGTGTCCAAGATCAGGTAGCCTCATCTGTTCAGCCTCTGGTGAGGGTCTCCTTGGTTGAGGTACAACATGGTGGAGTAAGGGAAAGGAAATTTGTGCAGAAGGGGCCAAATGCAGGGGGTGGTCTTGCTGTATACAACCCATTTTGGTGAGAACTAATTTATTCCTTGACACCAGCATATTTCCTTCCATGGTCAGCACACCCGGTAACCTCAGCACCCTGCACCAAGTTCTGCTTCCTACAGTTCCGCCAGTTCCAAACATCACCACACTGAGGTCCACACTTCCAGCACATGAACCCCTGGGGGACAAAAATCAACCCAAATCATAGCACAAACACATCATCCTACTCCCCACTCAACACAAATGATTAAAATGGAATATAATGGAATATGGGTTTGAGTAAAATATTCAGATAATTGAAAAGGATGAAATGAAAAGTGAAATTCACTAATTCCCTTTCAGTTTTCATTCCCTAAAATGGTAAGTCTTATAAACCATTTCTTGTGATTCCTTCAAGGAAAACTTATATGCAAATATTTTATATTCCCTGACTGAATTTGATGCTGTGAACTCTACTTTTTCAAGGCAATTCTCATTATTCCTCAGATTTTCCAGTTTATTTGCAGTTTTCAAAATGCTCTCTTTGGGTAATTTTTAATTTTTCTTTTTTTTTTAACAGGAGAAAAGCATATGTGTTTATTAAGATGTTTTTCTTTTTAAATT